GCTCGTTTGTAGAATGATGGTTGATAGACAGAAAAGTAGCTGTTTATATAGGAATTTGTTCATGCAGACGGAAAAATAAGAGAGGAAAGAAATGTTTTATTTTTGATTGTTTATTGAAAGAGAGAGTTCGCTGTTTTTTCAAAATGTCAAAAAATATAGTAGCCAACCATGCGAATAGGTAAAAAAATCAATAAAAAGACTCAATTTCACTTCAGGATAATAATAATAATGGTATTAGTAAAAGTATATAGTGCATTCAAGCAGTTCCCCGATTGACTTTTTTTTAACCCCTCACCATTGGAATATCAAAAATATTTTTTACTCGAAATTTTCCTACAGATACTTGATTCGATACAGGATTCGACGCTGATCACGAACGTGAGGTCAAAACTGGAAAAAGTTAAGTATTGATCGTAAAAGATCGATTTTACCGACAGATGGCGTTAGTGACCTTTTCCATTAAAAGTAGGTTTTTCTCCTTTGGGTTTGGTTTGGAAACCTTCAAAAACACCTAGATATACTCAAAATGTCGTAGCTTTCCGATGTGAAACAGAAATCCACTTCAACTAATTTTTTCAGGTCAAAAAAGCCATGTGAGATCAAAAATTGGTGAAAAATCTGTTATTTGGTCTCGTCATCCGACGTTCTTGCCCACAAGATATGGGATACCATTTCCGAAATGACATTGATGTATGTAGTTATAAAAAATAATAGTGAGAAGCTCTAAAACGCTCTGATCTTTTTTAACAGTTCAACAACTCAACAGACCAATTCATGAAACCATTTTTCCCATTACAGATGTGGCGTTTTAGAGCTTCTCACTATTATTTTTTATAAAGAATTTCAAGAAACATCTTTTGCAAAAAAAACTGTTCTCTAAAAAAAGGTAATCTGTCGAACCTAAAAGGGGTTTACGCTTCTGTCACCAGCCATATACCTCTTTAAGTAGAAAAAGAAAAAAAGTAGAAAAATTTCAATTTTTAAAATCGTCGGATCGTTCAATTGTTCAATTTTTCCGAAAATTCGATGTTCCAAAAGTGAGGGGCTAAAAATTCCCCGAAAAATTGAAAATGTTTTTCCTTTGACGCCCCCGTCCTCTGTGTAAAAACCCCAAAAAAGTGTTTTCTCAGTGTTCCCAAACTTGTACCAGTCACGGATTTAGCTAAGTAAAACGGTATATAGTTTGTACGAAACTTTAGAAAGGTATATAGATGGTGACAAAAGTTTAAACCTTGTTTAGGTTCGGTAGAGTACCTTCCTTTTTAGAGAGTCGTTCTTCAGGGTGAAGGAAAAGAAGTTATGAAGAAAATACTGTGCTGGCTATTTAATCTGAACCACTGGTTACAATGTGATCTAAAAAAGATTGTTATTATAACACATAAATGTCTAATCAACTAGAACTCGTAATGTCTATAGATTAAGGACTGTATGAACTACAAAGTGTTAACAAGCCCTGCATTATAACGCTTTTCGTTTTTAATAAAAAATACACATGCAAAAATCGAAAAACAAATTGAACAGAGAAAAGAAAAGGAGAGAATGCGAAGCAAAAGAGTAATGAGCATCAAGCAGAAAAGGCAAATGGTATAGTTGTGATTCCACATCAAGGTATGACCGATAGGTTGAGATCTAGTTTAAGAGCACATAACATTAAAACATACATGGAACATTCAAGGAGTTTATTCAGCATGTTAACAAAAGCAAAGAGTATTGCTAAAGGAAAAGCAAAGGTTGATAAACTAAAATCAGAAATACCTATATGTGCGGTGTATGGTATCCCGTGTGAATGTGGTGCATGGTATGTGGGAGAAACAGGAGACCATATGACCCGTTTAAATCAACATCAAACTCTCGTTGATACAGCATTAGTAGATCCAGATAAAACTAAGTCATCTGAATTGGCTCAACATAGCATCTCTAGTGACAATTGCAACATTCGGTTTGAATCGTCCGTCACCTATGACGAAGAACGAAAGAAATATAGAAGCAAGAGGCTAGAATCAGTTTATACATTGGCTAATAACGGGTATAATAACAAACAGACAATATGCACTCAATGGTTGCCCACAATTAAATCATGGATTAAGAAAAATTCGGGAACAGATTTTGTCAGATCAGAGCCACTGATGTCCGACGGAGCTATAGCTCATAATCTTAGACCTAGGAAAGGTGGACAAGTGATCAAAAAATGATGGCTGCTATCATGAGTTCTAGCCTAATTTTTTACGTATTATAAGAATTATAGTTTATGTTCTACTTTCTAGATAAGATTCTTTTTCGTGTTTGATATTTTTTAAAAAATTTCTATTCACTTTTTAATTTATCGTGTCTACTGATGAAGATGCAAAGCATCGAAACATTTATACAAACATAATTTGTGGGAATAAAATTACCATTTAAAAGTATCAAAGGTTACAAAAAGCAACTACCAACGTCTTGAGGTAACGATTTGTAAGAATTTCATTTTTTACTATTGTTACATGCAAACTGAACTACCTGTTAAACCATTGAAACAATGATCATAATGGCAGAAAACGAGAAAATGACAATATAATTATTTCCCATAAACGCTTTTGTACCTAAATTAGGCTCTGATGTCATAGCGGTAGTGATAGGCTCTGACATCATAGCGGTAGCGATCAACGTATAATATCTGTATAATAATACTTTGATTATATTTATTTGGTCATTGCTATTACAGAAACTTTTTGGCTTGTTACATACATATGAAAATCGACGATGATCAATGCCTGATAATATTGGATCATGTAGAAGAATTTCACTATCAAATCCAAGACGAAATGGTAAAAAAACTGGACCGCAATTTTTATAATACTGAATATCGTTTCCGTTCATGTGACTTCCAAATGCACCTGCGCATACTCTGTCTTGACAAATTTCAAATGGATCCTTATAACATTGCTGAATCACCGTTGTTGAGTTATCGTATAATAGTCTTATTATTTCATTTAAAATCGTTTGTTTTTCAAAAGTCAACGTTTTTATAATAGATTCATAGAATAAACGAGCACAATCATCTTTTGTTAAACAAACATAGTAAATTGATGTTGTTATCGATGGTTCTGAAGATTCCTGAAAATATATTGTTACTTTTTGATCAAACATTGAACTAATATTATTATTGATATCTGCGGTAAAAGGAAGTGTTCCAAAAAACTGAAGAAACGTGATTCGTTGTGTTAAATAATTTATATAAATATTAACATCACATTGCGTTCTATTAGATGCTGTTCGGATGTTATGAGACCATGATGTTACAGACTTGGAACTATGTGAGTGTATTTGCAAACTATCCGGTCCCATCGTTTCAAAAAATCTTTTTCGAATAATTGAAAATGTACTTTCAACCGGTGAATTTCTCTCAAAAATAGCTGTAATTTTCTCACAATTTTCATTAGCTTTTACAAAAGAGACACGTTGGTTTTACTCTTCATAGAAAATAAGTAATGTTCACCTGATGATGAACGTGACTATTGACTGTTGTTTTGCGTTGCAACTTAAAAGTGGATGTGGTTTCGATAAATTAATTCTAAGAGCTACTTTTCATTCATTTTTTTCTACACGTTTCTGACAAAATTTGATTTGTTATTGGTCAAGTCTGAGATGAAACTAGTGAATTCTTACATTAATTAAAAGATGTTAGGTTGCTATCTACGAATTATCACACGAAGCAACGCAAATTTGTCACAATGTATTATGTTCTGAAAATAAATTATCGAGTTTTGTACTGAAACTAATAAATTCTGGCATCAAGACAATTAATTCTATTAAAACTAACGAGCTCTGACTAGAAACTAACGACTTCTTGCACGAACTAAGAGATTTTCTCTTGAGCCCATATCTACGAATTTTAACGTTAGAAACGAATTCTTGTTAACAATCAGACAAACAAGAACATCCAACCTTTTAAGACCATTGTCTTTCCATCAATGGAAAACATTAAAGATATTTAAAAAATAGAAGTTTTTCATTTCTTTTTCATTCACAGCACATGCCTAGACCAAGATATCAGTGCGTTTTCTGTACACTAAACTAAAGCGATTGATTTTAAGATTCCTGATTTTCATTTCAATACTCTG